GCGTAAAAGAATAGCAGTCCAACTTATGCGTCCAAAAGGTAACAACTTTTGAACTCTGGGCTGGCCAGAATCACTTATAAGTTCACAGAGGCCTAAAGTCTTATCTATTCTAGGCTTGTAAAGGTTGCTGCTTTTTCACTTGTTTTGTGTGTGTTATAACCCATATTAGCCATTACTAGATCTAGACTTGACACTAATACACTGTAGGGCACAGGTTGAAGGCTAGCTGTTTTAATTGGGCGTGGTTTCGATTAATCGCATAAATATAAAAAGGATTAAATAAATTTGGCAATACAATTGTATATAGCAATAAAGTTATATTGCATTCTTAGCGAAACCAGCATTTTCATTTAAATCGTTATTTAAAGAAACATGCATCCTGTCAACGTGAGAAACCGATAAGTTGTCAGTGTTTAACCCATTGGTTTGCTTCTGGTTATCCCAGTGAGAAATGTTGGTCACATATATTACCGAAACATTTAAGCATAGCCTTATAAATTCATTACGGTATTATAGGGCTATGGAAATCGTTTTTCGTTAGAATCAGATGACATTTGCGAACAGGAACAGTGCATTTTTGGCATACGTCGGAATGTCTTTAATGTTTGTTTCTGGTTGTCCGAAATGTGCGTCACTGAGAGGATCAGGGGCACAAAAATCGGACACTTTTGGCACCAAGAAGTCACTGACGTTGTACCGACATCCTTCTTCTTGCCAGTTAAAATGTCCCTTACATGTAATGTTTGACGATCTTCATTACCGGTAGTGCCTCTCAGTATTGTTTGAAACTGGTTCGTCTACACTATTTCATGCTTTATCTTCAATGAACAGGTTTAATAGTACTTCAATACAATAACTTTAATGAGTACGGTGCATACGTATATGTAATTGATGCAAACGGACATCTGAACTTAACAATTTTGGAAAGTGAGCGTCCTTGTACAATGCTGAACATGCGCGACTGGTTATTGCATTTCCGAACCAAAAACTGTTCACGCTCAACACATGGAACAGTCGTGCGACGGCTTCCTTACAAATTAACATTTAAATCATTGTACATTTCTTAGAAACGCGACAAAATACTAATTGAAGTTTTTAAGTGTTGCTTGCACAGCGTACAACCTGTTTGGCGGGTCACGTGGACAAATGACTACAAACTGTGTAGAGATACAACCGAAGGAGAATATTCCAGTAGATGCCTGTCATCTACTCAGTACCTGAACACTTCTCCCAAGGTTTCCGCAAACAGCTCTTATCCATCGCCAAGCCTATCTACATCCACCCTCTGAAGCTGAAATTGTGGGCACAAAAACGATTCATACGGCCAATACTACTACTGTGGCCAACTGAGACTTTTAGAGAGTAATTTGGTTGTTACCTTACCTACTTAATTACTTCGGACTACTAAGCTTTGTGTATGGATGTTTCTCTAGTTTACTTGGCTTACCATCCATATCGCAGTCTAAAGTTATCGATTTTGATGGTTCAAACAGCCCAGAACTAACTCCTACCCCTAGTTGGCCCTTTTCCATGCAAACAATGCTATGTAAACGGTTGGGTCTGATTAAAGTTTACCGAAAAGAATTCTTTACTCTGAAATGATTTCTGATATTTATTCATATTAAAGAATTAACCAAGCAGTAAACGATGCCTATTTCGGTTTTCGGGAAGTTATTACAGACATCTGTCTACATCTGTTGTATAGATTTGGTCCGATGATAGACATTACAAATCAATCTTTTTCAAACTTCTCTACGCACCTGGTTGCTCATACTAACTTCCGATTTAATTATGGTAGATAAAACAGATGTGCAGATGGTTTACTGACAGTATTTCTAAAGAACTGGTTTATGGACCATTACAAATATATGTGTATATATATATATATCTGTTCACAAGTCTGTAAACATACACATATGCCATCCGAACCATGGTGTTTGGGATAAGAGAATAAAATTTTCAACGAGAGAGAGTAAAATGTTAGAAAAGTGCTTTTTAAGCTTCACACATGCCGTTTTGGACGTTTTATGTGTTTTGTTTTCATATAATGTACCAAATTTAAAATTACACAACAACGAGATAGTAGAACAACATTGACGTCGTTGACTCCTACTACGGACCATATCCTCCAAGAGTTTCAACCATTCAGAATCTGTTTTACGTGGTCCCCAGCAGGGGAGACGCTAGACACGAAGTTAGGATCTTCACGCTCCGTTTCCAAGCCACCAATTGTCCACCGCGGCTCTTTCCATTCACGTCCAGCAAGTGCGCGACGTGGAAGGCGGTGGGCCGGCATGCGTAGTGCGCGACGGCGGCGAGGCAAGCGGTGCTAGACGAATATGCTCTGGAGCCAAGGGCTGCCCGCTTCAAGGACTCTGCTTCTAACTTCCGCGTTGCTCACATGGTGCTGCCACCATACGCAAGCCCCGGTTATCGAAAGTAGACAATCACCTCAAATCTTCTGATCGAACAGGCCAGGTCCCGCAGCCTTACTACAGGATAGCACGGACTGTAGCGTTGTTCACTCTGCCTTTGAGCTTGAGATTGACATCGCAACGACGCCACAAGTGTCTCAGGTTAGTAAACGCAAGGCGATCTTTGGCATTTCGTTGAGAAATTTCATCGGTAACACCGCCACCAGCGGTGATGCAACTGCCGAGGTAAGTAAAGCTGTGAACATGCTTTCGGCTGACACCCGAAATGTTGAGCTAGACACAGGAACCTATCAATCCTGGAGCAAAGCTTTACACCTTGATGGAGCAAAGTACAGACCATACTTAGATGCCACTATCTGTAAACGTTTTAGAATGTTTTGAACAGGCTGCGAGTCGTTCACCAGCAAAGCGGTGTCATCAACATAGTCCACGTCCATGAATCTGCTTCTGGGTAGAAGCTCAAAGCCGCAGATCTGAGCTCCTTCTAGTGATCGATGTAGGACATCGTCGATGGCGAAGTTGAACAGGACCTGCCAGATAGAACAACGCTGGTGCACTCCACCGGTAACACTAGACGATGAAGAAAACCTGCCATAAGCTCTAACCTTGTCTGAGGTGTGACTATACAGCATTTTTAAGAGTATGACAAACTTGTCGGGAACGCCGTTCCGTAGCAGACAGTTCCACGGTGACCACCCTTCTATTAAGTAAATAACGGCTCGGATATTCCTAAGAACTTCTATTGTTGGTCTTCGGGAGACATGACGATGTCCGGGAATTTGATACAACGTGAAAATCTGGTCACTGCAACCACGACCCAAACGAAAGCCAGGCTGCTCCTCACGACACAAGCTTTCACGGGTAACTGAGAGCCTAGGCAGCAGGAGAGACACAAAAATTTGGACACGACAGAGATAAGTGGAATTTCGTGGTAGTCGGCGCAATCACTACGATAGCCCTTCTTGTGGATCGGAACCACAACAGATTCTCCCCATGAGTTATGAATCTTCTCATAGCTCAGTACTTTTGTGAACATTGATAGAATTTCGGTGACAACTATGTTTCCCCCATTTTTGAATAAAGCCGGGGGAAGACTGTCAAGGCCAGGGACTTCATGCTGTGCTCAACGATCCAGACTTCTGACTGGGTTGGTGATCTTTGTGCCGTCTGACTCACAGACGCTCTGACTGATAGCCTGAACTTTGCGTCCGGTGAATCGGATGAGATAAAAAAACCCTGCAGCTGTTACCAGTAGAAACAACCACTTCCATTTCCTTGGCATGTTTTGATCAACAAGATTCACGGTCACGGCGAATAGAATCGCTTTCATTTGTCTGGAAATAGAACGGCAGTGCTCAGCGTGCCTCACACTGACGGGCATGACTCGCCGATAGTCAAAAAGTTCCCGGGACGTGGCCGTGATTCAACTTTTAGTTGTGCAACGAACAAGAACGCAACTGGATAAACCAGCCGAAAACAAAAGCTGTTGCAATCGCAACCAATGCTGATCAACGTCCCGAGGAGGCGGAGAAGGTAGGTTCTTACGAAGCTGCTTTGGATGTTCCAATTACACTGCGAAGTCTTCCGGTTTACCAGAGTTAAGTCGTGTTTGTCTAGTTCTAGGCAAACCATAAAACACATGCAAACCGACGCACGTACTAACGCATGATCAGCTTTAACTCATGTTAACCACTAGGATCTGCGGTCCCGAATACGCTTAAATTATACTGACACGTTTTGTAAGTACGAATAATATGATTAGTTGTACCCAGTTGATGCATCGCTGTCATTCGTAATGGATCGACATTAGACGAATAATAGGTTAAGTTCACTAGCGTGAAAAATAAGAGTATTTGAACTTTTATACTGCAATTCTTTATGTTGTGAAAAACTCAAACGCAGGTCCACGATTCGTTAAACAGAATCGGGATGAACGATGTATCAGTGCATCAGTGGTTCCAATACAGAAGGATAAATGGTCAGACTCAGGTTATATGCAGTGCTTTATTCTAGACCAAGACTGGTTGAATACGCATTGAAAGGGCCTAGGTCCTACATGTGACGATTCATAGGTGTCCCCACTAGTGAATGCCTCTTGCCCAAGCAAGTTAAAATTCCACTCCGATGTGGAGAGGTGCCCACAGGGATCGAACAGTGGTTCAGCTCGTATAGCTTATGCCTCGAAGTGAGATAAAACTAAAGTGGGCTGAATGAGAGATAAACAAATCTGATTATTTTACTGGCCAATGTACAGGCAAAATTTTGAAATAGGTCACACTTATGTACGTAATAAAGGGGTAGGGTGAGTGAAAGAATAATTGATATTTTTTACGCTTGATTAGTTCCATCGTAACGTTAAATCATATACTCATTGAATTTTGCTGTTACACATGGTCTAGCGTTATAAAGCAGCTTAAGGTTTTGCTTGTAATATTTTTAGGAGTTTTGATTTTTTTTTGGTACGAATTGGACGTTCCCAGGCCTTGAAATAGTTGAAACGTTAGCTGCAAGAAATTCCGATGCTTCCGGTTTACTTACATTATACACGCTTGTTACATTGTTCAGTTTGTGTTCAGAACCCCAACCAATACACTTGTGCGGGAATTGCTCCGTCGTGTATTCGATATTTGTCGACTGGATCTTGTACAGTATATCAACTATGGATTCTTCCTTCCACCCAATGGAGTACAGAAAGGGAAGTTCTTGCAGGAGGAACGGTTATTGACAGAGTATCCGCAGCTAATTGCATCTGCGACTGAGGTGTGCAAAAATGGAATCGACTCGGAATCACATGAAAACGGTGTGGATAAGGCAGCCACCTTGATGGTAAGCAACCCGAAAATTCGTATGACGGAGCTAACAACCAAAATCTCATACATACCCAGCATATTCTACGGAAAGGTAGAATTTCTAAGGTCTATATTTGTAAGGTTGATCTTAAAAGGTAAGATGTTTATCGGTCCGGTTTGAAGCAATCTCTCATGCTGGGGCATGGAAACCACGCCTTGATAACCGCATCCATAGTCTGGAGCACAATGAAATTTTCAAGTGATACAACTGGCTCATCTGGCTCCAGAGTTTACAATGAACATTGATCCATAGTTTGCCATTTGTCATCAAGTAGAATCGTGATTTGGACATTGAAAATGCATATGTATTAGAGGGTGAGAAAACGTTGCCATTAGTTTTTTTGCTAAATGCAGTAATTATCAACACGATTCGAAGTACACAGAAATATATTGAGTTCAGTTTCCTGCAACCAGACTTTTATCAACATATAAAACGCAGAAACCTGAATTACACACAACAGTCTGAAAAATTTGTTAACTACCAATCGTTGTGATAAGCATCTAGACATTAATAAATTACCAATGCCTCTGTGCATAATTGATCTCCTCATTAATTTTTTGCTATCCCTGCAAGAGTCTTTATCAGTAACACCTACTAACATGTCACCCGAAAAGTTTGGAGCCTCAATTTCCGAGCTAAAACTGATTACTACATTGCAGTATATTTAGTTGGAAAACCGCCGTGTGTGTTCCATCAGAAAGTATATGGCTAATTTTTCTCATCGGGTATATTTACATAACCAAGTCTTGCAAAATCCAACAGCTCCTCACTTCAACGCTGGCACTTTATTCACGGTCAATGAGAAAGAAATTTTGATCCAATGAACTATGATATAGGGTTTATTTCGATAACTGCAGCGAAAGCACATCACAAACTTTCCTTAATAGAATTAACGCTACTCTGCTATGCTTATCAACTGAAAAAAGAAAACCCAGGGACCGGAAATGGTTTTAAATCGTAATCTCGGCGGTTCTTCTCTTCTCATATACAATGCACTAAGCTTAACTCTATTTTTATGATGCTTGTGTCCTTTACGAATCAAAATACGGCAATTGCCTGTTGCCTATCCGCGCGATATCGCAGCTACAGAGTTAATCGCGGCGGACCGCTGCCTTGATTACTGGTGATGCAAGAGTTTCCTTAATGTTTAAACTCCGATATTTAAGGAAAAATTTGTCACGAATTCAAAGCCGATAATTACCTAATAACGATTAAAAAAAACTGATGTCAAAGCGGTGATCCATTACAGTAGGACATCATTTGTAACGCTGTACCACAAATGAACTAAACTCTCTCCGTTCCTATTGCTACGAACACATTTTTTAAAGAAATTGCTTTGCAGTGTCAATGAGCAGCTTAAAATTTTTGCTTTGATATCGATCCACTAGCCCTGTGCTGAAGTGCAACCTACCAATAGGACTGCTACTTTGATAATTCACTGAAACCTGTGATGTTTTTCGTGGTGGGGTGGATGCATTTAGGACGATTTAGTTGAGAAAAGTATGGCTGGAACAACACTGCACAAGCATTATCACTGTCTATCGACACATTAGATCCCATCGCCCAGGAAAACCCCAGCACCGCGAAGGTATGAGCACGTACATTAGCAAAGAAGGGTGTACATCGGTTTCACAGCTGTCCTCGTAACGGTGTTAATAATCTATTATCTGTTAGAATGTCAAGCAAAGCTTAGTAATTTGATATCTGTGGTTGTCAGGAACGTCAATGTAACACCTAAAGCTATATTATCACAGATAACCGCCTTGGCAGATCGCCTGTTCTTAGAATTGCAACTAAATTTCGGATGTTCCTTCTGCATCACTGCTGGTGACTTCAGTAGCGGTGACAACGTTTTCAGTAGAATGCTGTGTGTAACCAACTGAGTGGAATTTCTTACCAGACTGGACGCACACTTCTGATTAGCTTTTACTCTCAAACATGACCTGTTTTCCAAAGGAAGAAGCATCTGGTTTGATAGTTCAGATCACGGCATCTAGACGTTATGCCCCACCTAGTTTGCAATGACAGCAAAGCCATTCAGAATGGTTAGGCGACAAAACTGTACAACGGAAAACATCCAGAAGCTCAGTTTGACGCTTTAGTCTACAGACATTTCGCGTATGAGGACCTGTCTGCTCATTGTGAGCACATTACAGGCCATGCACCTTCCTATTTCAATCTTCAGAGCTAAACCGAGACTATTTTGTGATAACTAGATTTCCATTTTTACTAATCAGGCGACAGAGCAGCAAAAGAGAATATGCTTACAAATACAAGCCAATGATTCTTGTCACTTGTCTGTCTGTGGCTAGAGAAGCAGAGGTAAAAAGGTCACCTAGCCTATACCTTGAAGACGTCTTAGGCCGTTAGCTGTCGAGGCTCTTGAGGTCGCTAATAGGCAAAATTTCTAGTAGTCCACTCGATACTGTAGATGGGAACAAGCCCAGCGCACAGGGTAACTCCTTGAGATCGAACGCATTCACTTACCTACCCAGCAAATCATGACCAACACATTTCATTTTACTACATCATGGTTTGCAGAGAACTTACGACACTAAGGCAAATAACGCTGGTGGTGTTAATGCCATGTCGCCAAGTATGTTTAACTAGTGTGCGAATCAATTAAAGCCACCGCTGACAGATTTTCGACCAATGGTTAACGTCTGCTTGCAACCATGACACATGGAAAGCAACCAGAACAACAACTGGAACCATGGAGGACTTATGGAAGTATCGGCCAAATGGCATGCAGCTCCTTGCTCTTGAAGATGCCTAAAAATTGCTAATTCATGGAAATTTTACACCCATCACTAAGGACAGGACAGAACACTCTAAATTAGACGCTGTTTGATTGGTTGTGCATTTCAGTACATTCGCTTTGGATAAGAAATGCAAGAATGTACGGCTCCTGTTCCTCAAGTGTGCTAATACCTTTGGGAGTCCTGACATATCATTACTAATGAATCTTTCGATTGAAAACGGCGTTCCCGCACACTCATGTAATGTAATGCATAAATACTCTGCAAAAGGCATATGCTTCACATACTTCCGCAGCAGAAGGTCTTCCGCAATCCCAGGTGGTTGTGGAGTCCTGCTATTTTATCCCATTTCTGTTTTCTTTCTATGATGGATGTTTACGATATTAGCCAGTTTCATGGAATATAAATATGTTGATGCCGTCGTCCTAGGGTACAGAAGCCAGATTATTGAGAAATCTATGAAACTACAAGGGGGACAAAGCAAACACTTGACTTACTCAATCCCACAGTTCCTCTCCTTTAAGTAGTATAGGGATTGCGATGTCACATTCTCTTTTCTCCGTTTCTCCGGAATGAGTTTATGCATATGCCTCTCTTCCTTTAGTCGTGAGTAATCAAAACAATACCCGTTTATATTCCATGACTGATCTCGGTGTTCTTCTATCTTTCAATTTATCATGGTTTGCGCAATATATAGAAAACTTTCAAAAATTCAGAAGAGTATGGTCTTACTATATTAGACTTAAAATGTTCTGCATACTATGGGCAGAAATTCATCACATCTAAACTCACTCAGACTCACTCAGGAATGCGCACTGCTGACGATTCCCGAAAGGATGAAACGCGCGTACAGTGCTTTTCCGGGCGTGTGGCGGCTGTCTGAGTGAGTCTAGATGTGACGAATTTCAACCTATACCATTCAGCTCCTCCTACGGCTCTGCATACTACTTGCTATAATCCTAAGGATTGTAAAGGCATGTATTCTCCACCATTGTTTACACTTTGCTCCCTGTTATTTTCTCCGGATTTCTTCCGAAGAATTATGCGCCCTTTGTGTGACCATCATTATTTATTTCCCAATGCTCTGGGTTAAGTGAAGAATATCTCGTTGATTTTATGATTTGAAAGCATTTTTCACGCCTGGTTTAACTTTCTACCCAACATTCCGATAGACTCCTCTCACTCTCCACCCACTCTTCTATCAATTGCAGCAAATATTGGTTCCAAGCGATCGAAAATATAATTTTCGTTTTCTCGTGAATTCCGGCACCAGATATCTACCTTGCCCTATTTGTCTTGCTTAGTAGTCAACATAAATTAATGGTGCTTCAATTGCGAGATCATTTATTTGGTTTAAAATTAACGCATTTTGTTTCCGCTGTCTCTTTGCATTATTTTCCCGTCGATTATATGTCATGAAACATCCCCAGTTTTCGTGTAATTTGTTGAAAATTCTTCCACACGGGTGCACAAAGCTTATTGTTACTTGACAACAAATCCCAAATAAACGAGTTGGCCCGTCACTAAACTATTGGCTCAAGCCCAATCCTACTTCATTCACTTGTGTTGAAACCAGTGAGTTTGCATCAAGTTTGCTGCACGCCTTCCAGCAAATCATGCTGCAAAACTGCCAGCACTCCTGCCATCCTACTCTCACTGTATTTCCACTTCTCTGGCAGGCTTTCGTCATCCTTCGCTGTCAATAGTGGTGTATGACAGGACTGCCTTTTGTGCCCGCTCCTTTTCAATTTTGCAGTTGAAGACGACTTGTCGAGAGCTCTAGACGGTTTCCAAAATTTTGCTCGACAGCTACTACCGTGTAAGCGTGCGACCGACTTAGACTATGCCGATGATATCGCTCTACTTGATGGCGACTCACAGAGTATGCAGACTATTCTACACCGCTTGACGACTGAGGCATCTAGGTACGGAATATGCTTTGCCCAGTCAAAGTATGAAGTGCAGTTTTAGGATTGGAACCCACTAATTCCCGTGCTCACTATGGAAGGTATACAGCTTGAACAAGTCGATAGTTGTGTATACTTGGACAGCTGTGTCTTCTGTTGGTACCGTTGGAAAGGACGTTTCCCTTCGCACCGCTAAAGCTCGGTCGGCGTTTATCAACTTGCAACACTTGTGGCGTCGTCGCGATGTCTCCCTCTTGGTATAGGGTCGTGTATTCAACGGCAACCGTTCGAAGGATGTTGCTATATGGAA